CTCAAAGGACTTGCCCACCGTCTTGACCTCAACTCGTGTGGGATTCTGCTTAGCCAGGTCCTCAATAAACTGATTGATCTCAGCATGTGAGTAATACCGCTCTGTGCCCAGCTTTCCTTGGTAAGGGTACAAATTGCGTAACTTTTGATTCATTTCAAAATCACTTTGGAGCCATAAGCCGACATCATTATGAACAATTTTATAGTTCATCGTATTGGCATCGAGCAGATTCAAGAAATCTGGTTGTGCATCGGGGTGCACCAGGATATGAGCAGCTACTCCATTTCTGGAGAAGACTTCGTAGTAGGAATTATTATTTTCAAGAGTCGAATAGTCCAAGCCCCGTCCAGCGGGTCGATCCATCATGAAGACCTCATACATCTTAAAGCTGTTCTACGATTAGTTAGGCATTCACTTTATAGGCAAACACTCACCCATCATACAAAGTACCCTTGGCAAAGCTTAGCGCTATAGCATAAGAGTACACAGCGACCCATAAAATCAACTTCATGTTTACAGCTTGTACATTTTTTAAGAACTGAACCCCCTTATAAATACCCAACACCCCAGCTGGATTTCCAATTAGAAACGTAATCCATTTTCACATTTAGAAACATTTAAAATTATCCACAAATTGGCTGTCAAATTAATGAACTATTGGTATCAACTAATGAACATAAATAACACTAACGTAATTATTGGACTGATTGCACAGAGTCATAATGAGCTGCAAGCTAAGTTAGAATCGCATAGTAGGACGCTATTTAAAACCTATTTTTAAACCCTAGGCTGAAAATGGAAAATCATGTTTATATTTCGTATATCTTTGGAGCTAGTGTCTCTATGGAGTGTAAGCACAGATCGACTTGTATGAAAAAGTACTCTAATCTAATCTTATCTCCACCTTCGATTTATTTAAACATTTTTGACTAGAGCTATCGGATTATATTTAGTACTTTTCAATAACCTTTTCGGCCATGGCACGAATCCCAATCCATGTCTCGGTTACGAACTCGTCAATTTTGCTGGCAGGAGGATCAAATCCTGTTATGCCACCTCCAGACAACTCCATGGTAATGGAAATATTGAAGCCAGCATAGAAGGCATAATCATCGCTAGCACCAGCAGCTATATATAGCACATTGGTAGAGCTGCCCACCTCGTAATCAGTTCCAGTCGCTTCCTTTATGGCATCACCGCCAGCACGAGCCACATCGTCAAGATCCTGCCAAGTTTCAGGCAATTCTCTGCGAAATATAGATTTATTTAGTCATGCAATCGAAATTAATGTTAGCCAATGACGTACGAAGTCCATCCCCATGGATAGAGTAAGTAGTTGCCATAGGAGTGAATTGTCAAATACATAATGCCTCGATCCGCATACGTGTGCAATATGTCACGCACCACCTGCGTCTCTGGCTCCGAGAAAGGCTGCGGCCCAGCAAATGTATCAGAGCAGGGATTCGATGAAGCGCCCTCCTCATTCCAGTGAAAGTCAAAGTTACGATTGGGATCAGCACCATAGCAGGTCTGGCCCAGAAGCTTATACGGCTGCCGAGTTTTACGGAATAAACGAGCTAGGGTTCCTGTCTGCGTATACTCATAGCCATCTGGATTAGCCACCGGTAGAACGATCCAGTCATAGTCCTTGAGCAGTTCGGCATTCTCATCGAACTTCTCTACCAACTGTTCAATGACATACAGTACAGCTGCTGGAGATATCCATTCACGTGCATGGAAGCCCCCATCCATGAAGATGACCTTCTTGTTGGCCCGACGATCGCCATTAGTTATTGTAATAGTTTTCAGCTCACGCTTTTCATATGACCATCCAACAGTCTTGAGGAACACACGGCTCGGAAAACGATCTGCCAAGTCATTGATATAGTTGGTGATCTCCTCGTGTGTGTAATAGCGGTCCGTGCTGAGGCGGCCCTTGCCCGAGATGGGCGACAGACGTCGCTGCACTTGTCGCTGGGCAAACTCCTCGGCAATGGTGGCACCCAGATTTTCATTGATTAGACTGTGGCTCAACTGCTGCTCCGAGAGCAGTTTCTCGAAGTTTTCCAATTGATCGGGACTCACAATAACTCGTGACGATTGTCCCAGCAAACGACGTAGATTGAGAAAGTCGTAGCCCTGTTGGCTCAGCTTGTACAGCAGCTCCCCCTGCTCAGCATTCGCCGGTCTGAGCTCATAGATACGATAGCTGCAGGCAATCGGATGTCAGTCAAGAATATTCCACACTATATCACTATATCCTTCATGGACTCACCCATCGTAGTCATATTCGGCAGCAACCAGTGCCAAGCCAAGCAGTAGCGACAAAACACCAAAACGCGACATAACTCAACTCAATAATGGACACACGTGTCGCAAGCAGTTCACTTAAATAGCCAAGTTAAATCTTATCTACTTCCAAATTATAGTTAATTGATTAGAGTATTTCGTGTAAAACCCATACTATTAGATTAGATTTCGATAAGATTTGGATTAGACTCCCATTATATTTCTTTCTTATCGTCTGCAAAACCAGGGAAAATCTTCTCTGAATAAGACTTTAATTGCCTTGCTAGACATGATGATCTACTCTTTGTGCTGATTCTAAAGATTAACTACGGTTTTTTAACTTTTCGGTTTTATAGACTACTCAAAATCTTATCTAATCTAATCCAAACTGTTTGAGGAATTTAAAATCATTCTTTAAGAAAATCACGCTTAAAATTTTACCAACTAATATGTGAGAACATTTCAATATATGTTGATCATATCATTATCCCTTAAGTAGCAATCTAAACGTTTTGCTTATAGCAATACAAAGAATTAGCGCGAATGCCTATCTATTTCTCTGTTACGAACTTTCTTATTAAGTTTTTTCCGCTAGGCACCCATGCTCAAATATCAAATACTTTGTAATAATTTTGCTTTCCTTAAATTTTATTGCTCAAAAGTTTAATTAAGTGGATATTTTTCAACCACCTTCTGAGCCATTGCCACAATACCCACCCAGGTCTCTTTGACTAGCCTATCGATATCCGCAGGTGGAGGATCGAAATTATTATCACCGCCAGCGGGCAGTTCCATGGTGAATGATATAGGAAAACCAGCATTGAAAGCATAATCATCGCTAGCACCGGCAGCTGGATACATCAACTGGGTGGAACAGCCCACCTGGTAAATGGTGCCTGTAGCTGCTTTAATGGCATCTCCACCAGCGCGTCCAACCTCATCCAGATCCTCCCAGGTGTCTGGGAGTAAGCTGTGAAGTCAAAATTCTAATTAATAACTCTTAATTATTTTTAGCTACTCACTCAATATAACCCCAGGGGTAGAGTATGTAATTTCCATAGGAATGCACTGTTAAATACATTTTGCCACGATCCGCCAGACTGTGTATCAGATCACGCACCACAATTGCTTCCGGTTCAGAGAAAGCCTTTGGTCCCGCATAGGTTTGGGAGCACGGATCCGAGGAGGCACCAGTTTCATTCCAGTGAAAATCAAAATTACGATTAGGATCGATGCCAATGCAATCTGCACTGCTTGGCTGACGAGTCTTACGCCACATACGCGTATCCGGAGAGATCTGTGTATACTCATAGCCATCGGCATTGACTACGGGTAGAATGACCCAGTCGTAATCCTGCAATAGCTGGGCATGCGCCTCGTAGTTGTTGACCAATTCGTTGATGCCATACACCACTGCAGCCGGTGAGATCCATTCACGTGCATGGAAGCCACCGTCCACGAGTATGACATTCTTGTTAGCCCGTCCGTCTCCATTCGTGATCCGAATCGTCTTTAGCCAACGGCCCTCAAAGGACTTGCCCACCGTCTTGACCTCAACTCGTGTGGGATTCTGCTTAGCCAGGTCCTCAATAAACTGATTGATCTCAGCATGTGAGTAATACCGCTCTGTGCCCAGCTTTCCTTGGTAAGGGTACAAATTGCGTAACTTTTGATTCATTTCAAAATCATGTTTGAGCCATAAGCCGACATCATTATGAACAATTTTATAGTTCATCGTATTGGCATTGAGCAGCTTTAAGAAATCTGGTTGTGCATCGGGGTGCACCAGGATATGAGCAGCTACTCCATTTCTGGAGAAGACTTCGTAGTATGAATTATTATTTGACAGAGTCGAATAGTCCAAGCCCCGTGCAGCGGACCGATTCATCATAGATACCTCGTACATCTTAAAGCTGTTCTACGATTAGTTAGGCATTCACTTTACAGGAAAACACTCACCCGTCATAGAAATTACCCTTGGCATAGCTTAGAGCTATACCATAAGAACACACAGCGAACAATAAAATATATTTCATGTTTACAGCTCTTCGCCTTATTAACAACTGAACTGCCTAATACAATAGCCAAGCTTGATTTCCAATCAGAAACGGTATTAATAGAGCGCAACCTAAAAGTTAAGAGACACACTAAAAATTATCAACAAATTGGTTGTAAAATCAATGAAAACATCGATAGGCGTTTATTGGTCACTCTGATATGTGTTAAAAGCTTAAAGGAATAAAACGAGAGATAGTGAAATTGAGAGAGCTATACACACATACCAAACTGATAGTATATCTAACTAAAGAACGTTTATAATAGTAATAGTAGTAGATTATATGCTCTTGTGTTTCTGATAGTAATGCAATTATAATGATTATTGCTGGACATGTTGATGTAGCCACTCTACAGATTCTAATTTATTTATTATTGTTTTCTCATCATATCTTCAAGAGGAACTTTGTCTCAATGAAGGCCTATAAATCCGTGCAGGAAACATTCCCAGTCCCATTGGCTCTGCCATCTTAGTGATAAAACTGTAAAATTCGTAGAAGTACATGTGGATACGGCTATATAAGGTCTCTTGTCAATGAGGAAGTACAAAAAGCCTATATTAACAACCGACTGTATCCATGTAGTGATTCAGATCCCTGGAACTTAAACCATATATACAACTCCATTAAAATAATAAATAAGTTAACAATTTTAAATTCTCTAGAAAAATAATTTTTATTAATTAACATTTGTTTGCGCCTCGGTTTGGTAGAGTTTGATAACCTCCAGGGCCATGGCACGCACACCCACCCAACTTTCGGTCACAATGTCCTCGATGTGCGATACCCAGGGATCGAAGCCCATAAATCCGCCAGCTGGCAATTCCATGGTAATGGCCACACTTACATTGGCCACGCCCACAGCATAGTCTGTGGAATCACCAGAGGTCGCGTACATCAAATGGTAGCCGCTGCCATAACTGTAAATGCCATTCGTTGCATAAAGTATTGCCATGGCACCCGCATCAGCTACCTGCATCATTTCATCAAAATTTGGTGGCAAAGAGCTGAAAAAGGTAAAGCCATTAGAAGAGTTTACTTATCTATATATCGATGATTGAGTAATGAAAAATAACAATGAAATAAATGATAAGAGTATGCCGCCCAATGGAAATGAGTCAATATTGAATTTGTTTCCGTGAAATTCAGCCAATGTAAATATATTACATCACATGCTTTATCTACATAATTTTTCAGTAACTTTTCATGGACTCTCTGCTCACCTTGTGTGGCCCCAGGGCAACAGGAGGTAGTTGCCATACGAGTGCAGTGAAAGGTAAAAGGTCAAACGGTCGCTATAGTGCAGCAGTATATCGCGTACCACCTGCGACTCGGGCTGATCGAAGGCGTGCTCGCCCTGGTAGGTCTCGTTCGAAGGATCCGGCGAAGCGCCGTCCTCGAGGCCCCACATATAGCCGAAATTGCGATTCAGATCGGTGCCAATGTTCTCGGGATCCCAGGTAGGTTTGCGAGTCTTGCGCCAATAGCGCGAGTCCGTGTGACTGAACTCATATCCATCCGCATTGACCACCGGCATAATCACCCAGTCGTAGTCCTTGAGCAGATCCGCATTCTCCGCATAGTTATCTAACAGCTGTTGAATGATATACAGAGCGAAGGAGGGTGCAATCCATTCGCGAGCGTGCATCGCAGCATCGATGAAGATCACCGGCTTATTCGCTCGACCATCGCCATTCGTGATGGTCAACACCTTCAATGGGCGACGCTCGTAGCTCCAGCCGAAGTGCTTGACCAGTGCACGTTGCGGATACCGTTGGGGTAGACTGTCCAGATACTCATTGATTTCGGCATGGGTATAAAATGCGCCCAGGACATCGATCAGAGGCAGCGTGAAGCGCGCCTTGTTGCGTTGATTGTCCTCACGTTGTGCCTTCACCAACAGGGACAAATCATCTGAGAGCAATTGATGCTCTATCCGATGTGCCCTCAATTGCTTGAGCAAACTTTCCGCTTGGTTCGGCGCCACCAGCACTCGCAATCCTTTGTCATTGTGGCTGCGCCGTGATCCCAGCAAATCCCAATCGGGGTGCTCCTGCGCCCACTTTCGAATCAGCTGCAGCTGACTATCGTCATGAGGCTGCAGCTCGTATACCTTATAATCCTTGTAATCCTGCCAGGCCAATATACAGTCGAACTGCAGCAGCAGCCCGAGCAGGACCCAACCCAAGAGAGCGTACGATGTCATTTGTGTAAAGTTCCAGCAAGACTATGCCCCAAAAATGTCAGATACCCATGCCATAGCCCAGCCACTTATCAGCTAATTGGAGCTAATGCCGATGATTAGACTTGGATTACGATACCAATAATTTAATTTTATCATTTGGACTGCAGACGCTTCCGTTTATGGCTGGCGATAAAACAAATATCATGAACATGAATCGTTCAGGGCTTCAAGTCATAGCGAACTGGTTCAATAAGTGAACAAAGTATGGGTTTTTCTTTTTCTATTTGTTTATCTTTAATGCCTAATAACGACGACAATAATTAGTTTAATTAAAAATTATAAATTCAATTGGCTAAATGCTAAAGATGTTCAGTGGGGACCGCACAACTTAATACAGGCTAACGTGCCGAATGAACTCGATAAAGCCGGCAAATGTCTCCTTGCAGACGTGGATGATGTCAAAGGGGGACACATGGAACTCCTCACCGGGTAGCTCAAGCGTGTAGGACAAGGGTATGCCCAGACTGCCATAGGCAAAGTCATCCAGACTGCCAGAAGCCTCATAGAGTATGGAGGCTGAGGTGCCGACGGTATAGCGGGTGCCGCGATATCTGCCGATTTGGTTGGCGGCTCTCAGCGCCACCGAGCGCAATGTGGCCACAGTGGGTGGCACAGTGTTTCTATATGAGAAAGAGAGAGAGAGAGAGAGAGATAGAGTGAGATATATATATAAAGGCAACAATTTGTTGGTGTGAAACTGTTTACAATTGGATACAGATAGAGTGCGGCAGGCAGGGGAAATATTTGGTTTTTAATTGCTTTTGGCAATTAATTGAAAAAGTAAATTGAATTTCTTACACACCTCGCATAGCCGTAGGGATAAAAAATGAATTTGCCGAATGAGTGAACATCCAGGCTGAGCTTCACACGATGACGATTGAATTCCAAATAGCGCACCACAGCCGCTGTTTCCGGCTCCGAGTTGGGCGAGGTGCCCGAATAGACCTCCGAGCAGTGCTATTTGTATATATATTAAAAGTGGAAATTGTGCTATGAATGAAGGTCAAAGTCAAGTGCAGAATGGAAGGTCGCTTACATTCTGGCTGGCGCCCTGATAGTTCCAGTGGTTGCCAAAGTTGCGATTAATATCGACGCCGGTGCACGAGAGGCCAGCATAGCGATGACGATTCTTGCGCCAAAAGCGATCCTACAGATCAAATAAGATCAGATAAATAAGATGAGTCAGACAAACATCTAAAATTCTTTAGGCTAGTTACTTACCGTAGTATGTGTATATTCATAGCCATCGGGATTCACGAGTGGCACTAGGAACACCTCCACATCGTTTAGCACACGCTGGAAGGCACGCAAGTTGGTGAGCAGCTCATAGGCCAAATACAGAACCGTCTGGGTCGTGATCCACTCCCGGCCATGTGTAGCTGCCTGTATGTAGGCGACGCGACGCGGACGCACACGCTGGTTGAGGGAAATCGATAGAGCCGCGATATGACGACCCTCGCTGGAGCGACCCAGGGACTCGTAGCGACAGTATAGGGGATACCGTGCGGCCAGGTTGCTCATGAAGTTGAGGATCTCGTGATAGCGCGGAAATCTCGAAAAGAAGCTGCGCGCCTGACGACGCTTGCGACTGTGCGGCCGATCGGACTCACAATCTCCGGGCTGGCATTCCTCGTACTCATCCTCTTCAGCATAGGTGCTGTTGCCCTCCAGCGATGCCATCAGGTCCATCAGTGGCTGTGTCTGATACTGCACGTCCAGCTCCAGCAGGCGTGACTCGAGCTGCGGCTTACGTTTGGGACCCACCGTCAGGACGGACATGTTCCGTGTCAACAGCCAAAAATCGACTTCCGTATCGTTTGTCTGCAGATCGACCATATACTGAAAGGCGCTCTCATCGCCATGCTGCACCGTGTACTTGGTATAGCTAATGGAAGTTATGAATGAAAAAAAAATTAATTTTTGCAGAGAATAATTATGATAATAATAGTAGTACATTAATTATAAATAATTGTGACTAGACTGAAGAATGCTTGGTATTCTGCTATCTGCATTTAATGGCTCATTTATCATCTTCATATTCATATGAATTCATCTTTTACTTTTTATAAGCATATTAAACATCTTGATAGTATCCAACTAGTTGATACTCGGTCTAAAAAAGACACACAATATGAATTGCTCATGTCTTCAGCTTAGAAGAACGCATCGAAAAATATGGAATGAGCAATACGGATATGGAATAAACTCACAGAGATCTTATCATACCCATTTGTAGATACAGATACAGTAGCTATATTAATATCATATCATATAACAAATTTGCCGTAAAAGCTCTATAAATATATGTCAATCAAATATTTAACAGAATTTGAAATATTTATACAACAAAAATCATTTCTTATTGGGTAATTCCAATTACCTGCAATTATATCTCATTTATGGGTGAATAGAAAATCCAATTAAAATTTCAGAAAAAACCCTAAACAAATACGAATCTCTTGGTCTAATTGGATAACAAAATTAATTTGTGGCGCCCAAAAATGAGTTGTTGATTCACAAATTTATGCAGAATGAGCTCGTTCTCGTTGTCGTCGCCTGGCCAATTGGCGTTTTGCCACCTCGCATGAATTTGTGGCCAATTTATCATTTCGAAAAATTCCACAACAAGATGAAGCAACAAGCTGACTGGCCCACAAAATATTGAATATCTATGCATATTCATCATATGCAGCCGCAGCTAAAAGAGAAGAAGCAGATAAAGGCGAAGGCGTAGGCGGGGCGGGGGCGGAGACTGCGGCGCAGCAGGTAGCAAAACAGAAGACAAAGATGCGGCTAATCACGTGTGGCAGTCGACGGACGGCATACAATGAATGATATATAATTAAATTAAACGCCCGCCAACAATGTTATACGCCGGCTATACATGCATACATATACATATGTATCTGAGCGAAGGCGAGGGCAAAATGTGGTCAAAGGCAGAGACTTAGCCAATTGGGTATACATGACTTGCACATAGCCCATAGACATTGTCTTTAAAGGCCGCGTTTTGTTCAATCTGAACTACAAAATCGATAATTATCGATTATTGTATTAATATTGACGTCATAATAGAGAATAATTAGTAGAGATGGCCTCCATAACTCGATTGTCTTTGGGATTTTACTACACTACAAATAATACCCTGTAATTAATACACAATACAGCTCTAAAATTCATTTACTAAAAGTGCTATCAAAGCATATCCTATAAATATAGCTCTGTAGAGACATTAGAATATTGATGCCTTAGCAAAAACCTTTTTTAATATCGATATTTATCGATTGTTGAAATTTTGTGCATTGAACTTTCAACAACTTAAAGCCAATATACCCTTTCTTGCTCTTCAATGCATCTAAAGTGGATTATAAACACAGCGGGAACTACTAACTAATTTTTCATTTTTACATAAAGAAACTGTTTTTGATTGGATAAAATATCGTTTATAATTTTATTGTTGTAATTTTCCTTAAATTATAAGCAAATGATGCTCTATTGTTGACTGCTGATTGTGACCTTGTCAAAATCATATCGATGCATATATTAAACATCTATTTCTAAAAATTTCAATTTCAAACGTTTCGCGCTGCACCAACAACATCAAAAATACTAATAATAAATAAATAAAAGACAAAAGCAACGGAAGGAAGCAAACGTTTTGCGTGCTAATTAAATATCAAGTTGAATGTTTTTTTTATTTTTTCGTTTTGCCTTTGCTTTTGTTTGTTTTCATTTTCATTTTCATTTTGATTTGCAGCACGAACAGCAGCAGCATCACAGCTTCAGCTGTTTGCATGCATCGCGTATACGCCCTGTGCGCCCCGCATCAACTCAGTGAAGCTGTGAATTGGCTTAAAACATATTTTAGCAAACATTTGCACAGCGATCGCATTTGGCATTTGCATGACACATTTGCTCTTGTCATCGTCGAGTCGTCAATGAAACCGACTTTTTGTCATGGGCGTGGCCAGTTTAGGGTTTGCTTTGTCAACTTGCTTCGAGCTGGACAGCGCTTAGTCCAAGCTCTAATGTTAATGACTGCGTTTAATCGCTGGCATTGACACTCAATAGTGTTAACACTTACATTTAGCTATATTCAAATCTATGTATATATAAATTTTTTTGTAAATAAATATAAATATATATTTATTTTTATTTTTAAACTTTTTCTATAGCCAAACAGTTGACATTTGAATAATTTTTCGGTCATCTAGGCTAATATATAAAAAAACTTTGTTACAAGCTTTAGATATGCCTTTTAGCTTAGTTTTTTATTAACTTAACCATTATTTGCAGCTCTCTCTTCAGCCAACGTTGCCTAAATTTGAATTTTAATGTTTAAGAAAACGCCACAGATTCTTTTATTATATTTTTGCTGACTGGCTTTTCATTTTTTTTTTTTTTATTATTTTAAAATTTTTTATAGAATCAGCAGAATGTTTTCTACCTAATCTTTGAGAAATTACTAAAATTTTTAAAAATAAAAAAAAAACTGTAACAAAAATTAGAAAACATCATAACAAGTTATTTTTATTTTATTGTAAAGTTTTCAGATTGAACTATACTATCCAAACATATGATTTTTATATATAGCTATACGAAGTCTAAATGTCACATCTAAGTTATATTAATTCTAGGTGAAGTCTGTAGTATTTTAGGAACCCAATGTAAATACTCATTCCATTAAGGAATCACGCCTAAAGCATAAAATCGCAGCTAAAATCTCAGAAACTATTAAACCTTTTGCTGCCCTGCTAATTCCAGACAAAAAATACCCATAGCTCGATTCAATATTTTGCATTTCATAAAAAAAAAAATAACTCTTTTATGAAGTAAAAGTCTAAACCAGTTTAACAACTAGCCGGCACTCAAAATTAAAATTATTAAAATAAAAAAAAATAAAAAAGAATAAATGAATTAAGTGAGCTGCTTGATTAATGAGCATGAGAAATTTACGAAAGAAAAAAATATATATATAATTTATATAATATATATATGTGATATATGTAGATATATGTATACTGTTTATTTGTAACTATTGTGTTAATTACCCTTCATAGCCGGCCAGATTGTTGAAGCTGCTGCTACTGCTGCTGCTGCTGCTGTCGATGGAGCACGTCAAGACGGCGAGGCAGAGCCACAGGCTGCACACGATTTTATAAAACATTGTGCACTTAAGCAATTGGCCACAGCAGCTGTTTGTTTGTTTGCTTTTGTTTTATTGTAAATTTTCTTTCTATTTGCTTATGCGCAATTATGTATTAAAATATGCAGCTGTGCGCTGATTGAGGCATGAATGCCTTTGCCTATTTGCTTAAACACTGTATATGTAATAATTGAATAAATATTATATCTTCTTTAGCTAGTTGCACTTGAGAAACTTATGTAATAGTCGCACACTGAGAAACTAAACTGAATTCAAGTTGAATTTTAAATTGAAGCCGAACGCGATCCGTTTCGTATGCTTCATCTCCAAAGACTGTTGAGCGCTCAGCGGCGTGGCTCAGAAAGAAGACGTTGCTAAAGCCACACACAAAACCCGAAAAAAATGTTTTCGTATCGTTTATATGTCTGATTTTTGTTGTTGTGGTTGTTATTTTTATTTTTTAGAAAAGTGAGTGTCAAGGTCAGTTGTCCAGTTCAGTTCACTTTGTCGGTCCAAACAGCAGCAGCAGCGCCGAAGACTCCAAAGATGTTTGTAAACGCGTCACGAGACAAAATACGGAAAGGGGTTTTTTTTGTGATTTTCGGATTATTTATTTATTACTTTTCCAATAGGTTGCGCGGCACGCGTCGCCGTTTCTTATTGGATGCCAATTAGAATCTGCTTGGTTCTTCGGCCAATTTGAATTGAGTTTTGCATAATTTATGCCACAGTTGCTAAGAAGTTCGAATTAATGTGATTTGGGTTTTGTTTCTGTTTTTTTTTTTTATTATATTTTTAAATTAAACTTAATGTATTTTTTATTTTCTTTAAAATTGCTGTTGAAACAAGTTTGGACAATTTTGATCACTTTTTGTTGTTATCTGCGCACAATTGATTTTTTTTTTTTTTTTTTTTTTTTTTTTTTTTGGTCTAGTTCGGTTTTTGATCTTTGCATCCGTGTGGTGCGGGTCTTGAAACGATTCTGAAGCCGTTACTTGTTTATTTACTGGTTTTTATAGAGGAACTTGAACCATGCTTATATACAAATAGATATAGATATGTATATATATAGATATCTTGTGTGTATTGTGCTCTGGGCAAACTTTGCGCTTTGTCTTCCTAATGTCACGGTCTGACATGAAGACAGAGAGCCGTTGGCCATACCATGAACGGCATATGGCCGATTCCTGTTCTAAGCAAATTGAAAGGTTTTTTTTTTAAGATGCGCAGACAATTCTGTTCGCTGAACTAAATGCGAGCAGTGAGCAAGGTCAATTTGGTAATCTAGCCGGAAGCTAAATATTATTAATACCGACTTGTGGCCACTCGAAAATAACAAATACTTGCGCTTCATTACAGTTAGCTCCCGATGAGCTATGAATAATAAAAAATAAAAAAAAAAGACAACAACAAGAAACGAGCGTGGTTCGAGTTCATTAAAACCTAAAGTGTGTCGGGCATTTGCCCAGCATCAGGGCTAACAGAAGCCATTCACAAAGTTAACGAATGCCACTTGAACAAAATTGAAGAAGATATTCATTTGGATGATGACAAGCTCTACGCATTGGATTCCATTTATGCAGATGTCTATAATGTATTGAAATATATTTTCGAATTGCTTCGACACTCGCTTCTGTCGCTTCTGGCACTTCCGCTCGATCGGTTATAATTTCATTTGATCTTCGATCATCGAGTCACTCGTTCTGCAATCTCTTAACAAATATGAATGGTTCAAAAACTTAAAAACTCACATTTCCGGTGCGATACTAAAACTTAAATCTGCATTTTAAATTTTTTTCGAGCATCTAAGACGCTTTAGTGGCTGCGATCGCCCGTCTATCTGGCTTAATTTGTAGACACGTTTTGAGGTTCTAAATCATTTTCAACAACTTTAATGGATTCTAAGTCTGATGCTCAGGGCATTCAACTTTTACGCCACGAAATAAAAGCCCCTAGAAACACAATTCTTATTTGATAATCCCATTATCTAACCAACCCATATAGATTCAAATCGCATATCAGTCAAGGCATACTAAAAACGAGTTTTCATCTATACCCTATACAAATCGAAGAGAGCTAGGTTATTAATAATGAAAAGCAAAATGCACTTATATGCAAGTTTTTAATTTAAATTTGTAAACATAATATATGTTTGAAATGATCCCAAATTTTCCAGAAAACTGAAGGTGAAGAAGCCCAAACGAAATTGAGAGAAGTAAAATAACATTTGATTGTGCAAAGACAGCATATCTTGCAGTCTAATACTTTTTGTCTGCCAATTTCGTCTTGTTGATGTCTTTTGCAACGCCCCGATAACCAAACAAAAGCCACGACCTTAACCATGAAAATAATATTTATGTACTCACTCACAGAATATTTCAATATAATGTCTTTATAGAGAAACAAGTTTGTTTTATTCATGATAGGCAGAAGATATCTACTATATATAATAATTAGTCATTAGAGAGACTTCTATAGTCTATAGACTATTGACTATATTACTGGATTTAATTGTAAAATACTCTTGTATGACAGTCTGTCATTCTCTGTATCTTTCTCTTTCTTTCTGTTTATGTTTCTCTCTTAAAAATGAAAGTGAGGAAGAAATTGAACAGAAACTCGTTCTTCTTAACTTTCCCTTTTCGATGTCTCTCAGGCTTCTCTCTATTTCTCTTTCTAAATGTTTCGCAAACTCTGTCACCCTCTCTCCTTCCCTCTCTCTCTATCTTTCTATCTCTCTCTCTCTCTCTCTCTCTCTATTTCTCTCTCGTTTATCTCCCTCTACATCGATTCGCCTCTATCTCTTTCTATCGCTTCTTATCTCTCTTTCATTCTCTCCAAATATTTAGGGCATAGTTCCCTTATGCGTTTTCTGCATACTCCAGTAGCACATCTCGGCAATTAGAGCCGAAGGCATGCAAATCGAATTTATTCCAGAGTGTTCATCGACTCCATCGAATGCTCTCCAGCATTCGAGTCAGTTTGACCGAGTCCCTTGAAGCTGCCGCATCGAGAAGCGCAAGAAACAAGCCAAACAATGGTGAGTGCACAGGAATACCTAGACTAAAATAAAATAGTATATAATATTCGATTTGAATATGCAGTTATTGGTGACGTCGCTGCAGCTCTTCTTGCTGCTCTTATCAGCGCCACGGCAGTTGGTCGCTTTCAGATATTCCGACTATGAAGACGTTGGTTTTTATGGGGCACGTGGCGCAAATGCGGAATGTAACGCCCACATGGTAATTAAGAGCTGGATAAATGAGCAGATTCTGACGAATGCAAAGTTAACCAGTTTCAACCTAAACTTGGGCAAGATGCTGGAGGCAATAAATAGCACGAATCCCAATCAGGCCGGAGAGGAGCATTGCTGTTTCTACGAGAATCGAACGATGAATACTGTATTCGCAGGCCTAGGGAATCTGTCGGCCATCAGCGATACGCCCAATGTCAACCCACTCGAAGCAACTGGCGATTTGGGCAAAGATCTGGACATCATTTTGGATCAAATGAAAGCAATATCATCGAAGAAAATGAAAACTTGCTGCGAGCAATTGGCGGAAAATCTGAAAGCAGTCGAAGCTGATTTGTTGAACAAACTGGAGGAGCTACGCAAGAAAATGAAGCAACAGCACGGAGATGTCAACAGCCAAACAAATGAGCTAAAGCAAAAGCAAACCGATCTAGAGAATCAATTGAAGAATGTCACGAATCGCATCGAACAGCTGGAGAAGCAGCAGAACGTCAACAAAGAGGAGGCGGCTAAATGTTGCAAGGAGTTGAACGACAAAGTGAATGAATTGAAGACGCAGCTAGAGCAAGCCAAAGCTGAGGCTAGCGAGAAAGCCAAACAGCTGGAGAAGGACATCAACGATCTAAATCAGAAGCAACAGGAGCATGCGAATAAGTTGAATATTCTACAAAAAGAAACCGAGAAACAAATGACAATTATTTCTCAAACTACTCGAGTTTGCATTGATAACTGTGGAAGTGGAACAGGTGGAAACGGGAATGGAGGCGGGAGTGGAAGCGGGAGTGGAGGCGGGAGTGGAGGCGGGAGTGGAGGCGGGAGTGGAGGCGGGAGTGGAGGCGGGAGTGGAGGCGGGAGTGAAGGCGGGAGTGAAGGCGTGAGTGGAGGCGGGAGTGGAGGCGGGAGTGGAATTGGAGGTGGAACTGGAAATGGAACTGGAAATGGAACCGGAACTGGAACTGGATCTGGAAGTGGAAGTGGATCAACTGACAATGAAGCATTACTGAACAGAATCAAAGAACTGGAGAAACTGATTTCTAATCTGATCGATAAGTTCAATCAATTGTCCAATATAACAACCGCTATAGCAAATTGTTCGAAAATCGAGTCTGAACTAAACCAAATCCATAATATACTCAATCAACTGGGTAATCAAACGGCAGTAGCGCCAGGAAACAACAATTGTCCCTCCCTGGTGGAATTGCAGACAGAAATTGAAAAGGCCAAGCAGTGCTGCAAGAAAATCGACGAATTGTCCCAGAAACTGGATAACATGATGAAACAAATTGAGGAATTAAATAATAAGTACACAAATCATGTGACACAGCTTGAAACGAGCTTAAGTCAAGTGCAAGAACAGCTCGATAATACTTTGGCACAATTGCAGAATATGTCCATAACAACACAAACATGCCCTAACGGCAATGGAACCGCCAATGGAACCCAGACCCTGGACGATCGCATTACAAATCTACAGAATCAGCTTAACTCGCTGAAAAAAATTCTGAGCATAACCCAAATAAATCTCAATAATAATGAAGCAAAGCTCATCCAGGTTGAAAAAACTCTCCAGGAAAAATGGAGAGAATTTCAAATGATAAATGCGGACCGCCTGAGGAATGCGAGCGAATTCAAGGAGCAGATGGAGAATCGATTGAATGAACTGCAGCTCCTATTGAGCAACAATTCAAGTAAGCCCGATCAAAACCTAATTGAGCGCATTATTAAGTTGGAAAAGCTACATGAGGAAATGCGAGTGGATATAGAGAGGATACTTAAGCTGGAAAAGATGTTTTCAGATCTGGAAAATCAGCTTCAAGCGACGCTGCAAAAGCTGCAAGACAACGATGCAAAGTTTAAAGAATGTGCCTTGAGATGCTCAAAGTTGGATGAGCTGAATGATCTGATCGATCGCTTGGAAGACGTGGAGAAGCTTGTTTTAAGTACGCCAGGTCGGCCAACAACAGCAACCAAAACCACCACCACCACCACCGCCACCACCACCACTAAAGCAAAACCCAGACCAAGCACTCGCGAAATCATTAACTACGTCAAGCCCACTCGATATACTGGGGCTATCAGCATATTAGGCAGTGCTGACGATCCCATAGTTATATATGAGCGACAAAAACGGCAAGTATAAACGGGAAAGATAAACGAGAAGTATAAAAATATTATGCTGAAAAATGTTCTTCTAAAACCATGCAATTAATCAAATTTTTCCATCGGAAATTCTTTAATCATATTATCTTATATATGATATTTTTAACCTTTTGATCGAATTATATAAAAATTTGCACACGCTTAACAGATGTATATAAGCCTTACTGTATTTGGTTAGTGAAGGGGTGTAGCAACTATTTTTACCGTGACCGTAAGACAGTATAGTAATTAACCTTTCTTTCAGCCACGAATATAAATGTTCAATAACAGAGACGTCTCATTTATTTTTGCCACGACTGTAAATGTGCGCCACGATAATTAAGATAAGTTAACTGAGAGGGACTGCTAGGCTTTCTTTTTGACATGGCTATAGGCATTACTAAATAGCACAGCATACTCGTTTATTTATGCCGTGACTGTACGGCGTCAACGGGTTTAATGAAACAGAATACAAACTATGCTTTAGTAATGGCAATCCGCTGATGCCTCATCGAAATAGCGTGATCGATGGGTGTAACTATTATTTTTGCCTTGACTGTAACTTTTAACATACATTAGGCAACGAGCATAATTAAGAGAATCACGCCCATGCCATGACTGTAGCTGTTAACCCAGACTATGGCAGTAGGTTAACGAAGGCATCGGAACACCTTGACTACCTGTCCGATTTGAGCAAAGTTAAATTGCCTTGCCAAACAGCAAGGACATAAATATGCAGGCAAAGTGAACTATTTTCCGACAAATCCTTGATGTTGTTGTTATTGTTATTGTTTGCTGTTGCTGCAGGCTGACATTGTTCGTTTCGTTGAAGTTATTTTCACATAATTGCTGGAATTTCGTTAATTTGTAGCCAATTTTATTTCGTCATCAAATGCCCTAATAGAACCCACACAGACATGGCTCAAAGGGATTCCAAAGGACATTTGGTTACACTGGAGCCCAGGCAGACTCTTTTCGTATTTGCCATTCCGAAATGCAAAACTTTTAGCCCTTTTATTTTCGCCAACATGCTAATGACATAATGTGCATACTTCAGAAACGCCCCCTAACAGGAGCGAGCGACCTGTCTGGTTCCTTGCGTGTCTCCGGCAAGTAGAACCAACAAAAAAAAATTGAAAATGAAAAAAGAAAAACATTCAGAAAACAAGGGAATAATTTTAGTTTGTTAAGGTAAGTGATGGACTAATAGATAACCTTAAAAATCTTTTAAAATATATCAAATATATTAATATATGGGGTCTATATAGCCCACTTTAATTTACTCTCACTCAAAAATAAAATCTTTCCATTTTCCCATGATTCTAAATACAGCTTACAGGGTATCGCTTAGCGACGCTTTCCTTATGCAGCTGCCAGACGTAAATTTATGGCAGTCACTGTGTCAGGAAGTTGACTAAAAGACCGTTAAATGAAAATCAACACGAACCTTGTTTTCTGTATAAATCAACTGGTTGCGTCGCAAACGATGTTTCCTCTAAATGCATTCATATGAATGTGAATACACACATATATACCAATGACTTTATATATATATGTGTATGTATGTTGAATGGAGTATATACACATGTTCCGACTCCGCGTAGTTTTTGACATTTGCGTTGACGTTTGTCGGCCAACCAGCTACACTGTCCAACCTAATAGTGGAATATACGGTTAATACGAGAATGCCGTAAAGAAAGTATATACACAATGCAGATGCCTTCTTTCAGTAGTCAACTTGATGTGAATAGTGAGGCTTGTGTATATTCAAAATTTCCAGCCTCTAGCTGTTGAGGCCAACGAGATTACCAAGTTCATACGGATGGGATGATGGAGAAAGGTACATGACTAGATCTATACTTGTCCTGATCAAGAAGATTCAAGAAAATTCTGCATAGTTATATAGCTTCATAAATCAAATCATATATAGGAGATTTTTATAATTAACTGCAACAGTCTGGATATAACCGAGTCGGATATTTCCAACTCTACCGCTATTCTGCATTATGAACTTTCCAGGTAATTTCTCATGTAGTCCAGTGTTATTTAGAGGCAATCTGGAAAATGATTTTTGTAGTCAGAAATGCTTTAATTCGCATTCGCTAGGCTCGATCCATGGGGCATATGCTGCTGCTACGTTGCTCCGTTTCCGGAACGACACGCCAGTTGTGGAGCTGTAGGCCTTGTTTATTTGCATAGCTCGTGCCTGCGCTTTTGGCCACCCACTTACCATCTATCTCTCTCTCTCTCTCTCACTCTCGCTCTTGCTCTGTCTCTGTCTCTGTCGCTATGTTGTCTGACATTTAGCATATTTGCGTTTCTGTGGCAGCGACTGCCAAATGCAGCCAGGATATACAAGCAGGATATACAAATCCAATTCCGCATTACAACAACAAACTCTGCCGTGCCCAACTTATTAAACGTTGTCGCTGCTCCAATTTAGCAAACGCCCACGATATGGATGTGGATGTGGCTGTGGCACTATTTCCAGTGCATCGTTTGATAAAAACTCTGGCTGGCAGTCCGTTAGGGTCACACAATGGCTGTTGGGCCCAAAGGACTCGCACGTCTCGTCCTTGTCGAGCAGCTGCTGCAGGAGGTACGATTTCCGATTTCCGATTTCTATAGAAATTTTCCCTTTTCTTTCTGTTTGTTTGCTCGTTCGTTTGTTCGTCCGCCTTCCAGCAGGCCTTGGCCAGCCAGGCGGAAAAGTGTTTCAACATCGACAAATTCCGTATTCGAATCACAGTTCTTTTTGTATTTCTGTGTCTACACTCGTTTATTTACAAATTTTTAGTGCTTATATAGTTTAGTTTCCCGACCACTCTTGCAACACTCAACATTTATGTACTTGACACATTCATAACTAATTTTTATCATATCCAAATCCCACCCATCCACACCCAACATAAATTGGAAATGCAAAACACTACGAAACGCGCCAAGAAGAAGGCACGCGCCGGTCCGAGGGTAACCCAGGTGCCGGTGCCCCCTCACAATGCACGCCGTGTGATCATACCCCGGCCGGATGTGCTGCACACCTATCTGGAGTACAATCAGATCAATCAGTATTTGGAATACATTGTGCACAAGTACTCCAATTTCGTGAAGCTCTACACGCTGGGCTTGACGCACGAGCGGCGAGAGGTGCGCGCCCTAGAGATCAATTGGAATAATCCGGATAATGTGGAGCTGTCGTCCGTGATGCGTCTGCAGGCGGCCAAGATGGCGGACGTCCACAGAAGTACGGGAGCGAAGGGGCCCCTCGTATTGCCCGGCGACAAGAATCGCAACATCATTTTCATTGAGGCCGGCACCCATGCCCGGGAGTGGATTACGGTTAGCACCTGCCTCAATTGCATCTACCAGCTGACGGAGCGATACACGCGCAACATCGAAGTGCTGCGAAATCTGCGCTTCATCATTGTGCCGCTCGTGAATCCCGATGGCTACGAGTATTCGCGGACGAAGGTAGGAGTCTTAGCCTCTCCAGCATTATCAATCAGCTTCTCCATCCTCATCCATCCTTACTCCCCCCACAGAATCGTAATTGGCGTAAGAATCGCCGTCCACAGAAATCGACCAAAATTGTGGGCGCCGACTGCAATCGCAATTACGACATATTCTGGGAGTGCGGACCCGTGAGAACCAACCGCAATACATACAAAGGCGAACGTCCGTTCTCCGAGCCGGAGACACGCGCCATGCGCAACATCCTCGATACCCTGGCGCCCAATCTGTTGTTCTTTCTCTCGCTGCACTCGTATGGCCAGAGCATCATGTATCCATGGGGCTATTGCCGCGAGGCTCCATATCACTGGCGTGAGCTCCACACGCTGGCCACCACTGGACGGACGGCCATCAAGACGTACAATGGCCGGGAATATCGTACGGGCAGCATTAGCTGCCTGACCAAACGCACCATTGCCGGCTCCGTTGTGGACTACGTGTACGGTGTGTTGAAGGCGCCACTGGCGCTGGTCATGGAGCTGCCCTCACGCGAGCTGGGCTTCCAGCCGCCCGTTGAGATGATCAGCCAGATTGGCCACGAGAGCTGGTTCGGCATACGTGAGATGTGCAAGAGCGCCTTCGATTTGAGGCAGAGCATCAAGCGAGACGAAGAGCCGGTGGCGCCCAGGCCGCCGGCTGCTCACAGCACTTCCGGCACCGGCGATACGAATGCTAGCCACGCCAGTGACACCAAGAAGAAATCACTCAAGAAGAAGAGCAGAAAACGCTCCAAACGCTCACTACTAACACAGCACGCCGAAATACTCGAACTGCAGCAGCGTCACATGGACGCCGCCCAGATGCCGCCGCGATCGCTAACGGCGCCGGTACGAATACGTCGCGGCCAGGGCGATGGACCATCCTAGAGGATTATCCTTATCCTTACCGTCGTCTGTGTGTGTGTGCGTGCGTGTGTAGTACATGTTTATAACGAGTTTATATACAAACGGCTTGGGCTTGGTCCCAAAGTTGAGTTCGCTTGGGCATTTTTATTCTGTATGTGTGCTTAGTAGGTTGTAGTGTAGTGTGTAGTGTGTAGGTTGATGTATGGGTGTATGCATGTATATATGTATAACTTGGTTTTTGTACATTGTAAATCAAATGAGGAATATGCATGCAATCTCCGCGATTGCTGCCTGTGTGTGATTGCTTAAATACTAGTACAACAGTGTGTGTGTGTGTGTGAGTCACTAATTGAGATATTCATTTGGTCTCAAAAGAAGGCATACGCGGTGCAGCATACTTCTGACGCAGCTTCTCATACACCTTGCGATCCTGTTGAGAGGCAATAGGAAACATTTTAATCAATGAGTATATCCCAGCTGGTTAAAGCTATGCTATGCTTACCTGCTCGCTAACCGAGGGACGCAGCTGCTTGAGTGCCTCCTCGAAATGCTGTTGGCGCACGCACAGATCGTCCACTGTGGTGTTGCCGCTGTTCAGCGATTGGCGCAGCGCGAACATGGACGCCTGTTTGACCAGTCCGGCCAAATCGGCGCCCGTATAGCCATCTGTTTTGGCAGCCAACGCCTCCAGATTCACATCATCCGCCAGCACTGGACGCTTGCCATTCTATATGTGTACAAAAGGGTCTTCTATTAGTAAATATAGTCAAGAATCTAATTCCAATCTCTGCTCACCTTCGTGGTAGCTTTCAATA